TGTATCATGCTGGGTGATGCATTCAAGTGTTCATGTTGTTTGCAAGCGTTGCTGCAGTAACAATATTTCAGCATGATGGGTTCGTGTTGTGAGATATTAGGGATATCTTGAGGTAACGTGACAGGCTGCAGATGAGAGGTCTGGAAGGTTCGTACCAAGATATCCATCTGCCTGGATGTTCTCTAGTGACAGCATCTCTAAAGGCTAGGGAATTGTCAGAGTGACAGTCACATTAATCACAAAGGCAGATCTGCATGATTGGGTAATGACAGCCCATAGCAGCCAAGGAACATAGTTGTGTCAGAAACAGTCCTTCAAAGCAGCATCTCAGATGTGTACATGTGGCAGCAGGAAGAATAACTGTAGTGTTGTGGTAATCATATCTCATAATGTCATATTTCATAATGTCGGGTCTGAATACGGTGTATAGCCTTTGGCAGTAAACATGTGTTCAGAGTTATGTGTTACTGTTGGGCAGAAGCTGTTACCTGTAAGTCTTGACATTATTGAATGAAACCAAGACCATTTGGCAAGTGTGCATGTCATACAGACCCAGTACAAGGTGCATAGGGAGCCTGGACATAACACACATCAGTCATCATCAATATAGCATAGTTTTCAAACTAATAGCTTAATTATCACAAACATATCACACAAATATTCTAGCCTTTACGTCCCAGGTCATTACCTGTACCCATTTTAGCCTGGAGTGACCTTAGAGCCAATGTGTGTTCTGAAGAGCAATCTAACCTGGTGCGTATTTGAACCCAAAACCTTCAGGCTTGCAGGCAAGCATCTACCCGCTACACTACCAATATTTCCTTCTGTGATAGTATCACTTACAAATTACTACCTGTCCTCTGTTAACACCATATATTGGTTGATGTATACTATACCTGACATCTCACTCTTTGTCAATAGCTTCAGGTGGAGGATCCCATTTGACAGGATACACTAGTCTTATCCTAGAGGAACTGCAACCTGAAAGTTCCATGTTAAGGCAGGACAGATCTGGCCAGTAGCATTGGTTGGCATCCGATCTGAGGAAAGCTCTGACAAGTGGACAGGAACAACTCTCCATTTTTGATCTGGAAGCTTCTAGAGCATCTTTTTTTCCCGAACATACTGGTGTTACTTCTTTGGGAAAAAAAAAGCAGGAAGAGGATGATGCTGCATGTCCAACATATGGTCTCTACAAATCTCCACGCTGTGTGCCAAAGGCAGGTGCTTTAATTGTGGAAGACTTTTCTTGCTAGTTCCACTGGCTGTTCCACCTTACTTCCCTATAACACTGCCATCTGGACAGACAGAAAGATGCTAGCCAGAAAACAACCAGCAAGGATACGATTGTGGCAGTGTCATTGTGTAGATTCAGTTAAAATATTTATTATGTTTGATTGTTACTATAATCTTGATTTTGAGTGTCTTTGCCTTTTCTGCAGTTAGTGACAACATTCGTCGTCAACTGGAAAAGTGTCAAGGTGTGTAGTTTTCAGTTATTTTGTAATTGAAATGTGCACCTCTATCTTTAAATGGAACGAAGAGACCCTGTGATTGTATGCCAGGCCTTCATATCCTTGCTTCTGTGGCACATGTCCCTGTGATTGTATGCCAGGCCTTCATATCCTTGCTTCTGTGGCACATGTCTCTGTGATTGTATGCCAGGCCTTCATATCCTTGCTTCTGTGGCACATGTCTCTGTGATTGTATGCCAGGCCTTCATATCCTTGCTTCTGTGGCACATGTCCCTGTGATTGTATGCCAGGCCTTCATATCCTTGCTTCTGTGGCACATGTCTCTGTGATTGTATGCCAGGCCTTCATATCCTTGCTTCTGTGGCACATGTCTCTGTGATTGTATGCCAGGCCTTCATATCCTTGCTTCTGTGGCACATGTCTCTGTGATTGTATGCCAGGCCTTCATATCCTTGCTTCTGTGGCACATGTCTCTGTGATTGTATGCCAGGCCTTCATATCCTTGCTTCTGTGGCACATGTCTCTGTGATTGTATGCCAGGCCTTCATATCCTTGCTTCTGTGGCACATGTCTCTGTGATTGTATGCCAGGCCTTCATATCCTTGCTTCTGTGGCACATGTCTCTGTGATTGTATGCCAGGCCTTCATATCCTTGCTTCTGTGGCACATGTCCCTGTGATTGTATGCCAGGCCTTCATATCCTTGCTTCTGTGGCACATGTCCCTGTGATTGTATGCCAGGCCTTCATATCCTTGCTTCTGTGGCACATGTCTCTGTGATTGTATGCCAGGCCTTCATATCCTTGCTTCTGTGGCACATGTCTCTGTGATTGTATGCCAGGCCTTCATATCCTTGCTTCTGTGGCACATGTCCCTGTGATTGTATGCCAGGCCTTCATATCCTTGCTTCTGTGGCACATGTCTCTGTGATTGTATGCCAGGCCTTCATATCCTTGCTTCTGTGGCACATGTCTCTGTGATTGTATGCCAGGCCTTCATATCCTTGCTTCTGTGGCACATGTCTCTGTGATTGTATGCCAGGCCTTCATATCCTTGCTTCTGTGGCACATGTCTCTGTGATTGTATGCCAGGCCTTCATATCCTTGCTTCTGTGGCACATGTCTCTGTGATTGTATGCCAGGCCTTCATATCCTTGCTTCTGTGGCACATGTCTCTGTATCCAGTTCTCTCTGTGTGTAGTTTTCTGTCTGTGTATTTTTGTATTGTTTTGTGTTGATCTCCCTATATATCTTGCCCATTGTTAAATTTAGTACTGTCTAATTATGATTTTATTTTATCCTTGGGGAAGTTCCTCACTTCCTGGTTTGGTGTGGTGTTCTAAAATAGCTTCATAAGCTCAGAGAATAATTCTGTCTGTTAAGTTCACCACTGATAACCATCCTGGAAATGAGGCGTATCATATTTCTTCTTTCATTTTTTCTTTCATTTTATGGACTGACCAGAGCAAGTTGATATCCGACACCTCAGAACAGGACACAATCGACTTTGCAGCCACATATACACAAAATTTAAAATTGGCGAATCAGCCATGTGCACATGTGGATTGGCACCTGAGACAACAGATCATATCCTCCAAGACTGTCAAAAATACGACATATCAAGGCAAAACTTTGGACAAGAGAAACACCGGTGCAAGTCAAACTTTGCGGGTCGCTGAGTGAATTACAAAAGACAGTGAAATTTATACTAGATACAACATTGCAGATATAGACAATTTATTTCAAGCAATTGAAAGAAGAAGAAGAATATTTCCTCTGTAATAAATTACTTAATCTGTATTGACTAACAGCTATAGTGTTTTTTTTTTAAAGAACTTTTATGTTGCTTTTTTTCTGGCAACTATGATTTTACATTATAAAAGTCAGTATTCATTTATTTGTATGTATATCTGTAATGCCGGTGTGCAGGATTCGAGCGCAGCTGCAGGTGATTTGGCAGCAAACTGTCTTGCATTGGTTTTGACAGTGGTATCAAGAGTCAAAACATTCAGAAGTCAAACTACTGAATATAAATTTGTCTAAAAAATCACAACAGCCAAACAATGCTGGGGTTGTTTCTGCAATGTCCTGTAAAGGATATGCAACTAGCTTTTTTTTTTTTTAAATATAAATGCTCAATTTCACTCATTTTTCTGAGCACATGAAGTAGAAAAAATCAGCCAGTTTATTCTCTTTTTTTTCTTTGACCAAAATGACCATATTGAGAGATGCACAGATAAATGTGATCTTTGAGAACTTTGCCTCTCTGTAATATTTTCTCTTCAAGACAGTTGCTGAGTGTGTACAAACTGTCTTGGTGGAAGGTGCTTTCTGTTATTTGGTACTGTTGATCAGTGTCTTTGCTGATATCCTGCCATGCCATAATAAAATAAAACTCTTGGATCTTTTCTCTCTGTTACCCTCTGTATCTTTTTCCATTAAACTTATTCTACTGAACTTTTGACGTGAACAAGGAATGTTGACTGTCTACTTCTTATTTCTATGAGTTTCTTTTGTGTCTTGGTTTCTGTCAACAATGTTTATTATTAATCTTGTGTCACATATGTTTTTGGAATGTCAATAACAAAATGATATTAATATGGCTTCAGTCAGTTTAACATTTTATCAACTGTACGTGATTTACAGAAATATTGTAAATTACAGTCCCAGCGATGCCAGGAATAATAATGCTTATATCAGAATAAGGAAGCTGCCATGATGGAGCAGCTGTAAGCTGGCTTGTAGATCTGCTGGTCATGAGTTCATATCCAAATAAAGGACTGTTTTCAAAAATAACCTTGGCTTCCTCTTTGACCCATCCTAAAATAGGTAAAGTCCTAGGAAGCAAAGGTAACATCATGATGTCGACCACATCACTGGCTGAGTGCTGATTGGTCTATCAAATATAGGTCAGGCACTATATGCCCAATACACCTGGAGGGGTGGATAGTCTTTTTTTTTTTTTCAATTTACTTTAGATAAGAATAAAAACCTTGCCTGAGCACTATATAGCATCAGCTGGGAAGATGGTCAGAGTTGCACACAGAAGTTTCATAGCCCTCAGCTGACACTAGTGCTGGCAAAGTACATGCTTCTGTTACTGGTTTTTTTTAAGCAGTAGTAATCCAGTATTTGTGGTTCCTTGGTGGCTCCAGGCACTCGTGTTTACTGGCCATTGAAACTGAAACCCAACCTCTGCATTTTTTGTGTACAAGTATAACAGTTTGAAGTTGACATGTTGATTCATGGCACTGGGATTTATCCCATATAGTTTGGTCTGTCTGCACAGAATTGCAAGCCACCTGCTAAGAGAGTTATAGAAAGTGTGGACACCAAAGCTCCTGGCACAACCCCAGGAGATGTACATAAATATTGTGCCTGTTAACTAAACATCATCAACTGTGACATGAACCGAAGACCTTGAGAGCTGCAGGCAAACAGCTGGAACACTTAGCCCCAGAAACCCCCTGTTGGTGCTGACTGTTCTCTCATTGATTTCATGATGGCTTTTATCTCTCCATCTTTAGTGGCAACTGGAGAGAATGTAAACATCATCAATTCTCCTTTTGTGGATGAAGATGAGCCATTGTTGAGCATTCGTTTTATCAAGGTGGGCTCCCTTTTTTGTGTTTAACATTTTGGTCCCAGGCATATAGAGAAAAATGACAGATGAATATACCAGAAGATACCAGAAGGTTGAATTTGAGTAGACAATAAAGCAGACGAAGAAGACGGTGGAGAAATAATATTCAAGCAGACCTGCAAACACTTGAAGTCACTGACTGGCAAGAGAAGGCCACGCTAGTAATGCTGAAGAGGTAGTCCCAGGCAGTAACTTCTTTAACTCACAACACAGTGTGTACTCTCCCATTGTGGAGTACCTGGGAGTGAGAGAGCTGATCAACTGGCATGGGAAGGTGCGGAAAAAAAAAGATCAGTTTGATGTACCAATTATATGCCTGCAAAGAAAAAGATAATTAAATCAATTCCAACACCACCAGATCCAGCACAAGATCACTACTTTATTATGGACAGATTAGAACAAGTCTTTATCCTTCACTCACACATCCACTAGTACATGAAAGTGAATATAGGCGTATCAGCCATGTGCACAGGTGGAAAGTTGCTCCAGACAGCAGAACATATACTCCAGGACTGCACCTAATATAGCACATTAAGGCAAACCTTTTGGTCAAAAATAACAAGAGTGAAAAGTAAACTCTGTGGACTACTAAATGAACTAAAATTAAACATGACATTTATCCAAGACACACAATTGTTGAATAGACAACTTGTTTCAGAGAAGTGACAGAAAAAGAGAAGAAGCTAAACTCATTCTGAGTGAAGATGTTATTTGAAAGTAATAAATGTTAGGCCTAAAGAGTTTTAATACAAATTGTATTAGACAGAAGGAGTTTTGACTAAGATGTTTTGTCTGGTTCAAGTAAAACACTGCTATAATTTTTTATGCCTTTAAATTACAAATGAATACTTCTCTATAAACACTTTAGGTACTTCTTATTTTTCTGTGTTTACCTTTAAAATGGCAATTAGCATAGTATGTTGTGATTTACACTTTGGCTGCAGTATCTGAACCTTTTGGCATAATGATTCATATTTCAGCAAAACTCTTAATTAGGCCATGTGCCTGTTAGCAAGCATTGGATCTGTTCTTTTTCCCCCTTGAAAAGTGAGCCTAGAAACATATACAAGGAACTTTAAATACTAATTAAGTGAATTTTTTATTCAAACAGGCAAACAAAAAAGGTCCAGAATTCAAGACAACATACAACAACACAACTCAGTCAATCACAGTGGAGTTCTCTACTTTGGACATAGTTCTTCATCAGGGAGTCTTGCTCAGGTACAGTGCCTAAATACATCAGCCACACAGTTGTACTCAGGTAGAGTGCTTAGATACATGAGCTACACAGTTGTACTGAGGTAAATTGCTTAGATACATCAGCCACACAGTTGTACTCATGTAGAGTGCTTAGATACATCAACAAGACAGTTGTACTAGAGTGCTTAGATACAACAAACAACTCGGGTAGATTGCTTAGATACCTCAGCTAGACTATTGTATTCAGGTAGAGTTCTTAGATACATCAGCCAGACTGTTGTACATATGTAGAGTGCTTAGATATTTCAATCAGACTGTTGTACTCAGGTAGAGTGCTTAAATCAATCAACCAGACTGTTGTACTCAGGTAGAGTGCTTAAATCAATCAACCAAACTGTTGTACTCAGGTAGAATGCTTAGATACATCAACCAGACTGTTGTAATCAGGTAGAGTGCTTAGATATGTCGACCAGGCATTTACATTCAAGTAGAACTTGGCTTTTAGAAAGCCATGTGGTTCACTGGAAACACACCCCCCCCCCCCCCCCCCCCCCACTCCCCAACCCCTTTTCCCCAAAATGCAAATGTTTTTTTTTTTAAAATAACTATATTCATATTCTAACTTCCGAAACTGCACACACAAGAATTCCACTAAATGAAAAATCATTTATACAAAATTTTAAAAACTGGTTAATAATATATGAAGGGGAGTAATCAATAAAATAGTAGAGCTGAGAATTAAACTCTAAAAAGAAAATGTACACCCCTTGCTAAGCAAAAGGGCATGAATTAAAATCGTGACCCCATAATGAATAAAACAAATCTTGTTAATGCAGTATCAACACTCCCCCCCCCCCCCCCTACTTTCCCCCAACCGCTGTGGGACTGGCCGAAGGCATAAAGTATATACACACACACACACACACATACACACATATATACAAACACACACACACACACACAAACATACATATATACACATGAATTTCCCACAAATATGTAATGAACGGTAAAGAAGAAGTGTCGATGTACTCAGGCAGAAGAATCAAAGTTATCGTTTGCTGAAAGCAGTCATTATAATGAATATGCTGACATTCAGTGGCTGTGATCATGTGTTGTCTTCTCTCATGCACTAAAATTGACATACCTGGACTCTGTCCCTCCAGCTTGTTGGAGTTCTCTAAGAAATTTGAGGCAATAGGGAAGCAGCCCAGTAATGTTCCAGACATGCAGAAAAGAGCAGCATCAACTATTTCTCTCATCTCTCAAAGGAGCTTTGTGTTCACTGAGAGTGAGTTGACTTTGATTCTCACTTTGTGTTCACTGAGAGTGAGTTGACTTTGATTCTCACTTTGTGTTTACCGAGAGTGACTTGACTTTGATTCTCACTTTGTGTTTACTGAGAGTGACTTGACTTTGGTTCTCACTTTGTGTTCACTGAGAGTGAGTTGACTTTGATTCTCACTTTGTGTTCACCGAGAGTGACTTGACTTTGATTCTCACTTTGTGTTTACTGAGAGTGAGTTGACTTTGGTTCTCACTTTGTGTTCACTGAGAGTGAGTTGACTTTGATTCTCACTTTGTGTTCACTGAGAGTGAGTTGACTTTGATTCTCACTTTGTGTTTACTGAGAGTGAGTTGACTTTGATTCTCACTTTGTGTTCACTGAGAGTGAGTTGACTTTGGTTCTCACTTTGTGTTCATTGAGAGTGACTTGACGTTGATTCTCACTTTGTGTTTACTGAGAGTGACTTGACTTTGATTCTCACTTTGTGTTTACCGAGAGTGAGTTTACTTTGATTCTCACTTTGTGTTCACTGAAAGTGAGTTGACTTTGATTCTCACTTTGTGTTTATTGAGAGTGAGTTGACTTTAATTCTCACTTTGTGTTTGCTGAGAGTGAGTTGACTTTGATTCTCACTTTGTGTTCATTGAGAGTGAGTTGACTTTGATTCTCACTTTGTGTTTACCGAGAGTGAGTTGACTTTGATTCTCACTTTGTGTTTACCGAGAGTGAGTTGACTTTGATTCTCACTTTGTGTTTACCGAGAGTGACTTGACTTTGATTCTCACTTTGTGTTTACCAAGAGTGAGTTGACTTTGATTCTCACTTTGTGTTTACCGAGAGTGACTTGACTTTGATTCTCACTTTGTGTTCACTGAGAGTGAGTTGACTTTGGTTCTCACTTTGTGTTCACTGAGAGTGAGTTGACTTTGATTCTCACTTTGTGTTTACCGAGAGTGAGTTGACTTTGATTCTCACTTTGTGTTTACCGAGAGTGAGTTGACTTTGATTCTCACTTTGTGTTTACCGAGAGTGAGTTGACTTTGATTCTCACTTTATGTTTACCGAGAGTGAGTTGACTTTGATTCTCACTTTGTGTTTACCGAGAGTGAGTTGACTTTGGTTCTCACTTTGTGTTTACTGAGAGTGAGTTGACTTAGATTCTTACTTTGTGTTCACTGAGAGTGAGTTGACTTTGGTTCTCACTTTGTGTTTACTGAGAGTGAGTTTACTTTGGTTCTCACTTTGTGTTTCCTGATAGTGAGTTTACTTTGGTTCTCACTTTGTGTTTGCTGAGAGTGAGTTTACTTTGGTTCTCACTTTGTGTTTACTGAGAGTGAGTTTACTTTGGTTCTCACTTTGTGTTTGCTGAGAGTGAGTTGACTTGATTCTCACAGTGTGTTTACTGAGAGTGAGTTGACTTTGATTCTCACTTTGTGTTTGCTGAGAGTGAGTTTACTTTAATTCTCACTTTGTGTTTGCTGAGAGTGAGTTGACTTTGTTTCTCAATCTACATATAAAGTGGCAAACTTCTAAAGGTTGTCGACAGACATGACTACTAATGCCACATGGCATGGACTTTGAGAAGAAAATTAAAAACACTTTAAATAAAATAACCTTAAGAGAGGAAAACATTTAAGGCAAGCAAGCTAGAGGTAGACAATGATACATGTAGGAGAGTAACATCAAGATATGGATGAACATTAGTCTCAGAGAGTGAACAACCAGGATGAAAGAGAGTGTTGGAGTGCATTGTCTGTTATGACTTTTATTAGCACTGACTTTCATTACTTTGTCCTGTTACCAAGTCAGTGTGTTCATTATCTTTCCTCCCTTGCACTGATTATGTCATGATTGTATCCTGTTACACAGTCAGTGTGTGTGTGTGTGTGTGTGTGTGTGTGACTGTTTCATTGACTTCTTCAACAGGAAACAAGCCACATGCAGACATCCAGTTGCTAAAAGTCAAGGCTATAGTGGACAACATTCAGCTTGGTTTATGCAATGCAAAATGTGTCATCGTGCATTCCAGAGTAGAAGGTGAGCTTGTTCATCCTCTCACCTTTACATTTTTCAGCTACAGCCATATGTTGGCTCGTTTATATTTACTCCTGTTTGTGAGTTGTGAAGGCTAGTTTTGATGGAACATTGATTGCTCCATAGTTTTCTCCCTTACATTGCACAAGGAGGATCTCAAAGCAGCATATTCTCCATTACTGGTTACAATCAAATTGTGTGTCATTTAGAGTGCACATTGTTCAGTATAACTTTCACAGTATAAGTATATTTCCTCTGCACTGGCCAGTTCAACTCTTTGCAGTTTGCATCTGGCTGCCAAGGCATTTTGCAACATTTGTATTTATTTCATAACAGTCTGAGAATCTGGGCAACTGATGCAGCCTCCAAGGATTGGAGCACTGATAAGAACCTGTAGAAAACATTTTGGAGGGATAAAATATCAGCAGACACAAGCAGCCTCTAATGGTTTTGCAACAGATAAAATCACAGTTTTAAAAATGTTATATGCCATAGAAGTGACTCTTCTTCCCTGTACTTTTTGATGGTCACACTTAATTTGTCTAAGTATGTACACTATTGGAAAGAAGAACTGTGTCATTTGCATATCTGAGTTCTTGGATAGATCTGCCTGTTTTGCAGAAAAAGATGACTAAATTGAATTGATTAATAATTCAGACTTGTGGAGAGAATTTCATAGCTTCTGGCAAATCAAGAATGTCAAAACAATGTTTTTCCGTATTGAGGCCACAGACAATATATTACACAATATTTTTTGTAGTAAAGCACCCGATGAGGTAAACTGAAATATGACAGGCATACATTGTGCATTGTATTGTTTCTGTCCTCATTATTTCTGATCCAGAAAATGAGGATGTATGTAAGCAGAGCTGAGAATCTGTTCATTGGGGAAGGAAAGGCAGAGGAAGAATGTCTGTATGTAGACCCATCATACCTGGGACTGTCACAGCACTCAGTGATCATTGTTGCTGTCTGTGATTGGCTCCAGTTGCTCAGCTGAACCATTCTTCAGCATTACTATTTTCCATTGACCCAGTACTGTCAATGAATGTGAATGAATCCTACCATGTTTCTTATGGCTAGTATTAAAATAATTTTTCTTTATCTTGTTTTTTGAGAGAGCTCAAGTAAAATACATTTAAGCCACCCAGCTGGGGTTCATTATCTTTTGCCTAAAGCTGCCATTTTTCTGTAAACAAATTATTGGCAATGATTTGTAGCAATATATCAATGCAAGATGTGATCATACTTGGTGCGGGCTCTGTAACCATATCTTCTGTGCTCGAATGTTAACGCAACTGAAAATGGATAACAGGAAATGTCCTAGGAAGTAAAAGTGGCAGCATTGATATTGATACAATAACCAGCTAAATATTTATTGGGCTCTCAAAATACAGCTGGCATCATATGCCCAGTACACCTAAAGGCATGGAACTGGAACATTTACTGTTCAACTGTAGGCTGTGATTGCTCATGGCATGTAAAAGAGGCCTCACAGTGTATCGAGAATTAGCTCTCAGTTTGGGTAACTGTTCTTGCTATTTTGTACTAGTGGTCACTATAATCTGTGAGAGTGCTGCTGGTATTTCAGGCATTGAGTTTAGCATCGGCATGCAACATCAAACAACAGGTGTTACATCCCTCATGAGGAAAATTGAGGTCACAGATCCTGATCCTATGACGTACCACCCCAAGGTTAGCAGTGACCACCACCATGTTACCTTCTACGTTCTCTTCCTTGACATCCTCATCATTTCACTACCATGACAGTTAGCTCTGAACTCTACTGCACTTTTGCAAAAATAGTGAAAATATGGGGGTGACTGCAGTCAAGCTAATACAAGGAATTCCAGAGAAATTTGACTTAAAAGCTCAACAAAATGGGGAAGCAGAAAAACGTGCACAAAACAACACAACGTTAAGTTTCGACTGGGCAGCTTTTTTCAAACTTATAACACGTTTTTCTGCTTCCCCATTTTGTTGAGCTTTTTAGTCAAATTTCTCTGGAATTCCTTGCACTTTTGCAATATGGGAGTTCTAAAATTTAAGAAACCTTTCTTGGGATAAAGCATTATGTAATTATTAAAGTAGGATGAGACAGAGGGTTGTGAAAACATGTGATCACCAGTGCAGTGTGACATGGGCTATTGAAATAGGAAAAATTATTTATTATCTGTTGCCAGCCTAACAAATCATATGTCTCTTCTTTGCGTGGATTTTTAATCATAGTATGGGGCGTCCCAGGTGGACCCAGCCTAAAATGGGTACTTCCTGGGGAAGTAAAAACGGCCAGCGTAATGCTGACCACATTACCCAACTAGTGCCGATTAGTCTGTAAAAATATGGGTGCTCTTTCCATATGCCTGATGCACCTGCAGGCGTGAAAAGAGATCTTTACTTGACTCTTACTTTTCTTGAGTCTGCCTCCAGCTAACCTGCAGTAAACTGTTTTGTTGTTGCTGACTTCATATCTGCTGATTTAGCATTCAGTAGTTGTGCTGACTCAGAGGTTGCTGACTTCATGTCTGCTGATTTAACATTCAGTAGTTGTGCTGCTTCAGAGGTTGCTGACTTCATGTCTGCTGATTTAGCATTCAGTAGTTGTGCTGCTTCAGAGGTTGCTGACTTCATGTCTGCTGATTTAGCATTCAGTAGTTGTGCTGACTCAGAGGTTGCTGACTTCATGTCTGCTGATTTAGCATTCAGTAGTTGTGCTGACTCAGAGGTTGCTGACTTCATGTCTGCTGATTTAACATTCAGTAGTTGTGCTGCTTCAGAGGTTGCTGACTTCATGTCTGCTGATTTAGCATTCAGTAGTTGTGCTGCTTCAGAGGTTGCTGACTTCATGTCTGCTGATTTAGCATTCAGTAGTTGTGCTGACTCAGAGGTTGCTGACTTCATGTCTGCTGATTTAGCATTCAGTAGTTGTGCTGACTCAGAGGTTGCTGACTTCATGTCTGCTGATTTAGCATTCAGTAGTTGTGCTGACTCAGAGGTTGCTGACTTCATGTCTGCTGATTTAGCATTCAGTAGTTGTGCTGACTCAGAGGTTGCTGACTTCATGTCTGCTGATTTAGCATTCAGTAGTTGTGCTGACTCAGAGGTTGCTGACTTCATGTCTGCTGATTTAGCATTCAGTAGTTGTGCTGACTCAGAGGTTGCTGACTTCATGTCTGCTGATTTAGCATTCAGTAGTTGTGCTGACTCAGAGGTTGCTGACTTCATGTCTGCTGATTTAGCATTCAGTAGTTGTGCTGCTTCAGAGGTTGCTGACTTCATGTCTGCTGATTTAGCATTTATTAGTTGTGCTGCTTCAGAAAAACACGTTATTCTGCTGTTTCTCTCATAGTGCATAACTGTCCCACGTTGCTCTTGGACAGGTGCCTTGCTCATGGATAGGTGCCTTTGTGATGAGTGTGAGTTTGAATCCCAGCACCCCACCTCCACATAAGAATCTTTACTAATGAAAACAGCAATATTTGGCTCATAATATAAATTAACAGTAGCTGCACTTGGTACCCATAGAAAAAGGAAAGTGGTTTTAGATGTCTAGATTAATTTGTGAATTGGTAGACAGGGCAGGTGATCCCTCATGACAACCTCCTCCTGGTCAAGGGTGAAAAGATAAGCCCCCCCCCCCCCCCCCCCCCCAACCCCCCCCCCCCCCCCCCCCCCCCCCCCCCCCCCCCCCCCCCCCCACCAAATGTAATTCTATATAACAGTTTAGTTAGAGATGTAACAAATACACTTGGAATTTGACAAAATGATGTAGTATAAAACTTGATATATTGAGTTATGATACTACAGTCGAGTCCACTTAATTAAGTCAAACTCTGTTAAGTCCAGTTTCTGTTAAGTCGATATGACCAGCTTAGACCTGGCAATTTTTTCAATTATGTGTGCTGTCTGGATAAGTAGAAATCCTGATAAGTGGAAACATTTTCTGAGGTCGCTGCGACTTCTACTTATCCAGACTCGACTGTAGCAATCATTTGGATGACATTTTGTATAGAAAATTTGTTTAAACAAATAGTGATGGTATGGTGGTATTGAGATGCTTCAGCTAGAGCAATGAGCATATGAGATTAGACTGATGTCCTTATGCTGATGATAAGGTTCAGGAGCAAAAATGAATAATGTAATGTAATGTTTGGTTCATGAAAATAAAACCTCTGACATCCCTCGATTTGAGGCTCTGCCTATCTTTTCCCAGCCTGGTAAGCTTGCTAGGCAATGTAGGCTCATACAGTGGACCAACTGCTTAGGATAGGTACTGACTGGTCCATGCTCTTGTGAGAACTGTGATAAAGGAAACAAGCACATATGTGTAGTGTCCAGACTTACACAAAAATGTTTCACACTGATGTCCTACATCGCCTGCCTTTTCCCTTAAGTCCTGTCATGATAGTTCTAGTCCTATACGTTTGTTTTCTGTCCTGAATGAAACTTCAGAACTGGCTGACAGGGTTTTGATGTGGACATGTGGTAACAGGTTATGTGCTGAGAACCCAGAATTGCATATGAGTCTGCTGTCCTGAAATTATATTTCTGGTGACAGTCAGTCATATACTCTCATGGTTATTCCCTCCCTGGGTTGTCAATCTCCTGGGTAGGTAAACACATGTCATTGAGTTCATTGTGAAATATCAAAATCATCACTACATGGCTGCACATGTGGCATAACATCCCCACAGCCAGTGCACATGCTTTTGTTTATGTTTGAAACATTATAATTTCATTGCATTTCATTGTAATAAATATCAGTATTCAAGTCCTAATTTATAAACATGAAATCATACACTGAAACATATGTAATAAAAACATCTAAATGTCTGAGAAAAATTATAACCATTCCATCCATGATATTAAAGTGATTACACAGGATAAAACGGAATGTGTCAGAAGGCATGTAAGCCCTATGTGACATATAATATTTTTGTCTTCTTATCTCAGTTGAACTGCAGGAAATGTCTGTATTTGTCTTCTTGTCTCAATCCTGCTGCTTAAAATGTATGTAGTTGCCCTAGTGTTTCACATATGCTGGCTGACATGTTTCAATGTGTGTGTGCATACATTTAGGTGGGGTGGGGGTGGGGGGGGGGGGGTTATGTACTTATACATAGTGAATATCGCCATGGCAAGATATATGCATATATGTAGAAGCACCTCATTTCACAACCATATGGCAGTATCTACAATATTACAACCCCCTTCCCCACCCTTCCTTCCCAGCCAGGTCTGCCAGGCCTAATGTCCTGAGGAGCAAAGATTGCCAGTATGATGTTGACTACATCACTGTTTGATTGCCAGTTTGTTTTTTATAGGCCTAACCCCATTTCCCCCAGTGCCTTACTGTTGTGAAAAGGGTCCTAAAGCAAAGGTCCATTGTGTGATTGTTATAACCACAGCTTGAATATTTGTCTGAACACTAAAATGATAAATTGTCTGACTACACAGTTTATACTTGCAGATCTTCTCAGTTCAGGGAACAGACATGTTGAGGCTGGAGCTGACCCACTTTAAGAACCTGGCCAAGGATATTAATAATGTGGATGCTATACTGTCCCTCCATTTGGGCAGAGCTCAGATAGTGTTTGTCAACAAGTTTTGCATGTCCATTGTGGTGAGCACTTCTGCTGGCTGGCTGAGATAAGTGTATAGATTCACACACAACTGTTTGAAAGCACTTAATGCCAAGTAACTAGCTGTTTCTGATTTACATGCCATTATTTGTCTAAACTCATGGTGAACTATCAGGTTGTTTCACCAGCCCACTCTGCCCCAATTCTGGCTTCATTTCCTTCTGTCCCACAGTGTTAAATATTTTAACTTCCAGACAGAAAAAAAACAATAATTAAAATATGTTCTTTGAACACAGAGAGTTAAAGTAACATCTGCAGAGTACTGTGTTTTTTCTTTAGTTCACTGCAATGCTTACTGACAGCAGAGATGGTGACAGTCCAGTGTCTGGACTTTCATGTTGGTCAGACTTACTTCCCCTGGTTTGGCAGGTTTAAAGACTAGGTAGGTAACATCTGACACCTCTGGTCTGGTTTCCCCAGGTAGACTGGGTAGTAATATTAGATAATCTTAGGCCAGGACTGGTTGCTTTGTCTGGGCTATGAACTGGAAATAATGTTAAAACTCACATGGTTGTAATATTTAGGTTTAGTGCCTAGTAAAAATAATTATAGTTTGTAGTTTCTGTATTAAACAGAAGAAATCATTAAACACATTACTTTCTGAAAACATTAAGGTCATATCGTCACAATGATACTATATCATACAAAGCATATACAATAAGAGGAGAGGGGTGTAGAGCACAAGGTAGACCAAAAACAGGTGGAAAGATAACATCAATGAAACTCTACAACATGACATCGTGTCTATAGTTGAGGTGGCCAGATGAGCAAGAACCACAACTTAGCAACTCTCTTAACACCCACAGCAGTCAAAGAGCAAGTGCAGAAGAAGAAGATGTACAATGCTGCAAGACTTTTCTGCATATATCTATTCATCGCATCACAAAGACATTTATATTCATAATAATAAGTAAATTTAGTTCCTCACAAATGCAGTGATCTGCCAACTATCACCATTACTCTCAAGCATACATAACCTACATTAGTCCAGAAATGAAGTGTGGTCAATAAGGTGTTTATACCAACACTCTGATATCAATCAGATAGAATCAAGGATATTGTCTAAATCACAGGAAAAGAAACAGTACATCTGAAACTACATGATTGAGAAGACACTGCCCACTTCACTACAAGAAGGAAGCCACAGAAGCACAATGATTAGAAGCTTACCTGTGGACCCATAGGTCTTGAGTTTGAATCTGCATTGTGTGGATTTGTTATTATCTCCTTAGCTGACTGGGCCTAAAATGAATACCAGGCAATCTTCTGGTTATTAAAGGTTGATTACATGACCCTAGAGAGCTCATGGGCCTATAAAATATATATCTATCATCTTATTCCAGATGCAGCACTGGCACAGAAGGGTCTTTCAGTAAATGTGATTTGATGACTTTAAAGCTTATCATTGGTGTTACTCCATACATTGAATGCACTTATCTTGATCTTCAGGAAAGAACCACCTAAGCAAAAAGAATTTTTTTTTTTAAATCCAGCACTTCTTTGACAATTTTGCTGTTGCGAAAGCCAAGTTGGACGAGGCTAGAAGACTTGTGCAGGAAGCTTCTATGGATATGGCCAAAAATCTGCAAGAGAATGTTCCTCATGTGAAATTAGAGGTCATGGTTAGTCACTTTTATTTGCTACCAGCTGACTCTCTTTACATCACTGGCAATGTTTCAGTTATGTCAGTCTTATATCTCAACATCACCGGTAAGATGTTTTAGTTAGTTATGTCAGCTTAATATCTTAATGTCACTAGTAAGATGTCTTAGTTATGTCAGCCTTATATCTCAACATCAATAGTAAGATGTTTTAGTTAGTTATATCAGCTTAATATCTTAATGTCACTGGTAAGATGTCTTAGTTATGTTGGCTTAATATATTAACATCACTAGCCAGATGTTTTGGTTAGTTGTTTCAGCTTAATATCTCAACATCACTAGCAAGATGTCTTAGTTATGTCAGTTTAATATCTCAATATTACTAGTAAAATGTTTGAATTAGTTATATTGACTTAATATTTCGACATCACTAGCAAAATGTCTTAGTTTATGTTTATGTTTTTTCAATGGATTAACATTATGGCACATGGTGGTAACCCATAAGTGCTCTATTCTTCTTCTAACTCAAGCTTGAGTCCGAAGAATCTCAGCGCAGTGCATAAACTCTGAAATACTTTGAGTAGATTTTGAACTCTAAATTTTGCAATAGCAGAACTGTTAGGTAACTATTTTTTATTTCCAACTGCTAAGGGATGCTTTATGTGCGCAACAGTTCACACGGGCGTCTGGTGTTACTACTCAAAGACCAGGGGAAATTACTAGAAGTGTGCATGAAACAAATCCCAGCCTTCACCAGGGGCTTGAACCCGTGACCTATAGCACTTGAAGCAGACACCATGCCCTAAGACCACACAGTCCCCTTCTTACTTTTGTTGGCTTAATATTTCAACATCACTATCAAGATGTTTTAGTTAGTTATAGTGGCCTAATATTTCAACATCACTATCAAGATGTTTTAGTTAGTTATAGTGGCCTAATATTTCAACATCACTAGCAAGGTGTTTTAGTTAGTTATAGTGGCCTAATATTTCAACATCACTAGCAAGATGTTTTAGTTTAATCTAGCATTATCTGTCTCTGAACATCACTAGCAAGATGTTTTAGTTAGTTATAGTGGCCTAATATTTCAACATCACTAGCAAGATGTTTTAGTTAGTTATAGTGGCCTAATATTTCAACATCACTATCAAGATGTTTTAGTTAGTTATAGTGGCCTAATATTTCAACATCACTAGCAAGGTGTTTTAGTTAGTTATAGTGGCCTAATATTTCAACATCACTAGCAGGATCTTTTGGTTTAACATAGCATTATCTGACTCTGAACATCACTAGTAGGATCTTTTGGTTTAATATAGCATTATCTGACTCTGAACATCACTAGCAGGATCTTTTGGTTTAATATAGCATTATCTGACTCTGAACATCACTAGCAGGATCTTTTGGTTTAATATAGCATTATCTGACTCTGAACATCACTAGCAGGATCTTTTGGTTTAATATAGCATTATCTGACTCTGAACATCACTAGCAGGATCTTTTGGTTTAATATAGCATTATCTGACTCTGAACATCACTAGTAGGATCTTTTGCTTTAATATAGCATTATCTGACTCTGAACATCACTAGCAGGATCTTTTGGTTTAATATAGCATTATCTGACTCTGAACATCACTAGCAAGATCTTTTGGTTTAATATAGCATTATCTGACTCTGAACATCACTAGTAGGATCTTTTGCTTTAATATAGCATTATCTGACTCTAAACATCACTAGCAGGATCTTTTGCTTTAATATAGCATTATCTGACTCTGAACATCACTAGCAGGATCTTTTGGTTTAATATAGCATTATCTGACTCTGAACATCACTAGCAGGATCTTTTGGTTAATTTAGCATTTTATGTCTCTGAACATCACTAGCAAGATATTTTGGTTTCTTCTTCTTTGCGTTCACAGGCTGTACACTCTGGCGGAAAGATCTGGTTGCTCGTCCACAACTGAACTGCAGTCCTGCTCCAGAACCTGAGTGTTGCGTGTGCATCAGTTTTACAGATCTCATTCTCTTAAATACAGACTGTTGGTTCCTTGCCTCTCTGGCAGATGCACTCCAACTTCAAAGGAAGCTCCCCAATTAGTCGACTCTTACGACATGCTTTTGGGGAGGCAGTTGGTCTATTCTTGTTTTCCCCACAATGGGGCTCTGGAACCCACACGGGGGATATTTTGGTTTAATATAGCATTATCTGACTCTGAACATCACTAGCAAGATCTTTTGGTTTAATATAGCATTATCTGTCTCTGAACATCACTAGTGGGATCTTTTGGTTTAACATAGCATTATCTGTCTCTGAACATCACTAGCAAGATCTTTTGGTTTAATATATCATTATCTGACTCTGAACATCACTAGCAAGATCTTTTGGTTTAATACATCATTATCTGACTCTAAACATCACTAGCAAGATCTTTTGGTTTAATACATCATTATCTGACTCTGAACATCACTAGCAAGATCTTTTGGTTTAATACATCATTATCTGACTCTGAACATCACTAGCAAGATCTTTTGGTTTAATACATCATTATCTGACTCTGAACATCACTAGCAAGATCTTTTGGTTTAATACATCATTATCTGACTCTGAACATCACTAGCAAGATCTTTTGGTTTAATACATCATTATCTGACTCTGAACATCACTAGCAAGATCTTTTGGTTTAATACATCATTATCTGACTCTGAACATCACTAGTAGGATCTTTTGGTTTAATATAGCATTATCTGACTCTGAACATCACTAGCAAGATCTTTTGGTTTAACATAGCATTATCTGATTCTGAACATCACTAGCAAGATCTTTTGGTTTAATACATCATTATCTATCTCTGAACATCACTAGCAGGATCTTTTGGTTTAAACAGCATTATCTGACTCTGAACATCACTAGCAAGATCTTTTGGTTCAATCTAGCATTATCTGACTCTGAACATCACTAGCAGGATCTTTTGGTTTAAACAGCATTATCTGACTCTGAACATCACTAGCAAGATCTTTTGGTTCAATCTAGCATTATCTGACTTAGAACATCACTAGCAAGATCTTTTGGTTTAATATAGCATTATCTGACTCTGAACATCACTAGCAAGATCTTTTGGTTTAATCTAGCATTATCTGACTCTGAACATCACTAGCAAGATCTTTTGGTTTAATATAGCATTATCTGTCTCTGAACATCACTAGCAAGATCTTTTGGCTAATCTAGCATTATCTGTCTCTGAACATCACTAGCAGGATCTTTTGGTTAATCTAGCATTAGCTGTCTCTGAACATCACTAGCAAGATTTCTTTGTTTTTGTAATATTATTTATTGGCTTAACATCACTGGCAAGATGTCTTGGTTAATAGCACAATTTGACTGTCTCATTATTACTGGCAAGATGTCTTAAACATTAATTTACTGTCTCAACATCACTAGGAGTATAGATAAACCTCTTCATTTTCTTCATAGATTATAGCACCGTTGATTGTTGCACCTAGGAACTTTGTTTTCTTCATATCAGAACTTTGTTTTCTTTATAGATTGAAGCACCTTTGATTGTGATGCCTCAGAACATTGTTTTCTTCATAGATTAAAGGACCATTTATTGTGGTGCCTCAGTACTTCATTTTCCTCATAGATTGAAGCACTGCTGATTATGGTGCCTCGGAATTTTGTTTTCCCTATTGATTGAAGCACTGTTGATTGTGGTGCCTCAGTACTTCATTTTCCTCATAGATTGAAGCACTGCTGATTATGGTGCCTCGGAATTTTGTTTTCCCTATTGATTGAAGCACTGTTGATTGTGGTGCCTCAAAACATAGTTTTCTTCATAGACTGAAACACTGTGGATTGTGGTGGCTCAGAATTTTTTTTTTATTGATTAAAGCAGTGTTGATTGTCCTGTCTCAAAACTTTTTTTTTCATAGATCAAAGCCTCGTTGATTGTGGTGCCTCAAAACTTTTGTTTTTCATAGATTAAAGCACCATTGATTGTGGTGCCTCAAAACTTTTGTTTTTCATAGATTAAAGCACCATTGATTGTGGTGACTCAAAACTTAGTTTTCTTCATAGACTGAAACACCGTGGATTGTGGTGCCTCAGAATTTTTTTTTTTTTTTAATTGATTAAAGCAGTGTTGATTATCCTGTCTCAAAACTTTTTTTTTCATAGATCAAAGCCTCGTAGATTGTGGTGCCTCAAAACTTTTGTTTTTCATAGATTAAAGCACCATTGATTGTGGTGCCTCAGAACTCCCGGAGTCAGAGCGTGCTGAATGTCCATCTGGGGGATGTTACAGTACACAACAGGTTTGAGCATGGAGCCATTAAGACCAAGAAGGATAACTGGTTTGTTGAAAATATGATAGTCAAGCTGACAAATCTCTGCATTTCCAGGTACTTGACTGTTGTATTCATCTGGTTGTCACATGTTTTTTGAGGTTACATAACTTTTCCTCTGGCAGACTTGGCCCCCAAGCCATGTAAATGCACTAGCTACTATCATTGCTCATGGTTCAAATCCACTAACAAGGCTAATTTGTAAAAGTTGGTATGAGTTGCCAGGTCAGTCAGACTAAAATAGGTACTAGAAAAAGTAAAAGCGATTGGCAAAATACTGAGCACATTATTCAGCAAGTGTCAGTTGATTTGAAACAGTTCTATGTCCAGTGCACATCAGGGTGTAAAAATATGTCCATTAGTTACTTTACTTTTACTGTGCTAGGTATCTGTAGGGATGGTAGTGAAGTTTTATTTTTTGTGTTTTTACTTACGAAATTGTAACAGCTAGATGAAAATTAAAATTACAAATCCAATGGTACCTCATTTAAGCCTGTAAGTCGATTCTAAGCGGAGATATTAACATTTTAGTGGCGGACACCACGACAGAAAAATTGTAGTGGAAATCCTTGAAACATGGCTTCCGGCTGCGACCCAGTGAGATGAAATGACTCAATGTTTGCATTTTACGGCCACAACTTTTTTGTTTTTGAACGAATCCCTTAGCAACCATATATTGCTAGAATCGGGACAGTGAGACCTAACCGTTTATGCATGTCTCAATTACATACACTACGATATGCGCCTATTTAACATAGGAAAATGTCTGCAGTCTGATTTATTTTTCAAATAAAACCTTATACATTTACAGTTGTCTGCCAGCGAGCCTTGCTTTTTTTTTTTTTTTTTTTTTAACGTATCCAGAAACCATGAGTTGTAAACCCTTTGGTTCGGTACTATGGATATCGCAACCCTTCGGCATTGATTCCATTATAGGTACCGTTAATCTGGGAGAAATGTGGCTTTTCTGCCTACCCCCGGGAGTGAACCCGGACCACAAGGAGTTCGTCACCCGGCCGCTGCGAAAGTCAGGTTTAACCAACTTCGCTAGAGAGCCGGGCATACGAGCCTGGCTTAAAACATATCATATTGTGTGTCCTGGCAAGGCGAACATAAAGATCAGATAAATGTGCCAATGTCAGTTGACGTGACCTAATTAACAAATACCGGAAACTCCCCCCCCCCCCCCCCCCCCCCCCCCCCCCCCCCCCCCCCCCCCCCCCCCCCCCCCCCCCTTTGCAACAGCGATGTCAACCGGGTGGTCTATCTCCGCACAGTAATGACACCTGGGGTGGTTGTTTCCCCCCCCCCCCCCCCCCCCCCCAGTGATGATACCGGGATGGCCGCACCCCCTTCCTGCTACCTTCTTTCCCTGGTATCTCTCCTCTTCTTTCTTTCTTTTTCCTTTCCTTTCTTTTTCCCCATGTCTCAGTGTCGACTTTCTTTTCTTAGTCTCTTTTTTTTTTAAATTCCTCTCTCCTCCTCCTGCTCCCTCTCTTTCTCAACTTTCTCTCAATCTTCTACTGCCCCTCCCCCAACTCTCCTTTCTATATGGTAGAAGAAAACATGAGCCCACTAGTGGTACTAGCCGTTTTCATAATAGGTCGGTGACAGTGTTAACAACAGGGCAAACACAGCAGGTGTGTTCATTTCTGGGAGTCAGGTCAGGTCGGATTTACTTTTCTTTCAAAAATGACCTTGGCTCCCATGTTCACCCAGCATTGAATGTAAGAAATAGATCTATAGCAGCCACACGCGGACAGCCAAGCATGGGAGGGTTGCCAATGGGATTTTTGTCAAACCTGAAGCTAAGCTTATGTCAAGAGGTGTCTACCCTGCACAGTAGACTCGTCGTGACGTTGACGCCCCTAGCGGGCAGGTCACATTTCAAATTTAAACCCGTCCGGTGGGTATATAATCAATTATTTTGATATATACCTCTATCTGGTGGAATAGATATTTCTATACCCTCTAGTTGTTTTGAAAAGTCTACATTTTCAAACTTGCAACTGTGGGATATATATTTTCTGGAGTAATATTCCGAATTCCTGGAAACCTTTTTACTCCTTGGTGTACTTGTACGGGACATTTTTTTTCTAGAGACGCAAAGCGAGATTAGGCTGGGTCATTCTTTGCCTGACTTCCTAGGTGTGCAGAAGTATGTCACCTCTCTGATTAAATCTTGGCGCATTCAAAATACCAGTTTAATCTTTGAAGGATTCCTAAGCTTGGGTAAGTTGATTATAGTTTACAAGTACCATGATATATGTCTCTATAAAGTTAGCAGCTGCTGCAGGGAGGAAAGATTCAGCTGTGTGACCGCACAGAACTAGGCCGTTCTTGGTGTCCAGACACTCAAGCCTCTGAAATCAAACCTTTCCCTTCGCAGGCTAATAGTTTGTGCCCTACCTGACCCACACCATTATAAATATATTAAACTCAGCAAGTTAATTATTCTCTAACCAGCCGACAGAGTTTGTGTCAAATAGCGGACATATTTAACTGGGTCACACTTCAGCCAGCTAGGCACTGTGACGTTAGAGTTTTTTTTTTAGCACAACAACACTGGGTGTGCAGTGGGCAGAATGTGGAGGTATAAAATATATATATGTGAGAGAGTGAGATGGGATGTACATCTACAAGTGCAGAGGTGGGCGAGGAGAGTTGATATTCTATGTTTGATAGAGTCTATCTGTCTCCACTCTGCTACTCGTCTCTTGTCCCTGTTACTGACTGAACAACAGAGATGATATTTAGAGACTTATACTGTCTCTTTATCCTGAAAACTCTCCTCTGAATGATTACTAATGTGGATGTTAATAAACTGAGCTTGACATGTAACCCCTGAGATGACTGCTAATTCTGAGTTCCTTCTTGATACAGGATGGTATCTCCTTGGAGGCCAGGCAGTGAATCAGCAGTCCACAAAAACACCTACAAGGAAGTCACCAATGTCCAAGCCAGTGGTGGGCATCCAATTGTAAACCAAACTTTTGTCATCCATTAGGGAAATCCTCCAGTTGGTCTATGGACTACATAATGGGTGTTGTACCTTCACCATCATTTTTGATTGACTTGGTACCCGAGATCCTCTCCAGGAGCTTGGGTGTATCACCTGTGTTTGAGTGTCTAGTGTGGGACTGTCTTCAACGTAACAACACAGTGACTGAATATTCAGCAAGTTCAAGAAACCAGGAATTCAGATAAGTGTGGTCAATTGGTTTATTGCCGGGCTTCACTGTTAGTCGTCCACATGATCATGATGATGATCTAGGCGGACCTTGGGAATCTCTTACACATTCAGTCAGATCTGTTTTGAAGTTTTTGTCCTTCCTATCACTCTGGGTTCTTGAAGTTCTTTGCTGATTCTTATATAATGTATGTGTTGCATTTATTACATGTTCAGAAAGTTTCATTATTGACTTGAGTGTCCATTATTCACTGTTCAAACTGTCTAGCTTTTATGTTTGTGTGATTAGTAAGTTTAATCTGTGTTAACATGGCTGTGATAGTACACTATCATAGCCTAGGGGCTTTCTTGTTATAATAGTGGGGGTGTCCAGCCAAGTTGCGATTAGGATTAGTAGATATTCTGTAGTGCCAGAACTTAAGTTGCCCTACTCCTAAAATAAGTTGAGCGTATATTGGCCACGGGATATCCCTTAGACCACAATGCGAGGCGACGCCTCAACATTATTTTATTTCAGAGTTCTGTTGGTTCTTAAGGAGAAATCCTTAAATCAGGCACGCGACACGAACGGTATGTGACAGCATACCAAAAACCCAAGCAATATATAAGAAAAACAAAATTGACAAATAGTACATATTTTATAGTTAATTTTATAATTACGAAATGAAACATTTACCCACTTTTATATAAGGATATATATGTTTAAAAAAAAAAAAAAAGATTCCAAAAATCTTAACCCAAGGTGTCGTATAAAAAACCCAGTTCTTGGGGGAAAGCCCAAGTACTGGCAGGCCTGATGAAAGGGAACGCTGTCAGCGCTGCTGTTGTTTCTCGACCACTTAGATTTACCAATTCCGACTGAAAATTCCGTGGATTCTAAATAATAACAGACGCATTAAAAAATGCTACAAGAGTTGTAGATGTTTAAAAAGTAACTCACTTAACATTATTAATTTACTAAGTATCTGAAGTTAATTACTAAAGAATAATCTTAGAAAATGCGCAATGATGGCCCAAATTAATTATTGGGATTTGAGGGTGATCAGGAAAAAAAATATCCAACAGAGAATGCGAAGGGCTCTAAATAATGACAGATGCATGAACAAATGCTACAATGGTTGTGGATTTTTTTTTAAATGATTAAAATAACGTTAGCTAATTTAATAATTATTTTAAGTTAATTATAAAGCGGGAAAAACGGTCTCCTAGTGCAAACATATTGAATTCAAAGCCAAAACAGTGATGCCACTAAACAATTTTTTTAAACATGTGCTGTATTGCCAATCTTTGTGAAATTTCCCATACTTATATAAAAATTAACGCAGAATTCAAAAATACAACACACATTACGGTAATCTGGCTAATTAAAACAATATTTATGAAATTACTTACCGTTATAAGATTAAAAGCCAAAACAGTGATGCCACTAAACAATTTTTTTAAACATGAGCTGTATTGCCAATCTTTGTGAAATTTCTCACACTTATATAAAAATGAACGCAGAATTCAAAAATACAACACACGTTGCGGTAATCTGGCTAATTAAGAAGATATTTACGAAATTACTTACCGTTATTGGATTTAAAGCCAAAACAGTGATGCCACTAAACAATTTTTTTAAACATGAGCTGTATTGCCAATCTTTGTGAAATTTCCCACACTTAAATAAAAATTAACGCAGAATTCAAAAATACACCACACATTGCGGTAATCAGGCTAATAAAGAAGATATTTACGAAATTACTTACCGTCATTGGATTTGAAGGGAAAACAGTGATGCTACTAACCAATTTTTTAAAACATGTGCTGTATTGCCAATCTTTTTGAAATTTCCCACACTTATATAAAAATGAACGCAGAATTCAAAGATACAATACATATTGCGGTAATCAGTCTAATTAAAAAGATCTTTACGAAATTACTTACCGTTATTCACTGCGTGCTGCCCCAAAAAAAATCGATTTATTTTATACGCGTCAAAACCATCTCAGGTCAAAGCCTGGCATCTCTCCAATAACTTCTAATAACTTTTCCGATTTTATCTTTTACGTAAAGAGCACAGAAAAATAATTTCTGAATAACAGACAATTGGTTTTCAAATTTTCGGGTCGCAATCGCGTCTATAGATACCGACGAAAATGTACAGCAAAATAAACGAAACAAAACGATCCATTGCCATACCTAGTATCTGTGACCGCTGGACCTTCCCTTGGGGTTTGAAACTAAAACCTTGCCCAAGTGGATTCTGGAATTACTTTGTGGAAAAAGAAAAAAGAATAGACCTAATGTCTCCCAGCAAGCATGTCTTAAAAGCTGACTGTTTACTGATGTTTCCTTCAAAGTCAGATTGCATCTTCATGATAGGCAAGAACCAACAGTCTGCATACAGATAAACCAGGTCTGTAAAACAGGTCTGTAGGTTAACTAGCTGACTGTTAAGAGAGCAGTACAAGCACAGAACCTGTAGCTCCAGTGATGATACCCAAGGATCTCAGTAAAAACTGCACTCATGAACTGAGTGACAGAGTCTGGGAAGTCAGCCCATGACGTTCAGAGCAAGAAAATGTCTTGACCACTTAGCATGCTGCTGACAAAAGCTTTCTGGCTGCACTTGATATCCCCACATGTGTAGGTTCTGGGGCCCAACTGTAGACAGAAAAAAAACTAGGCTCACCACCTCCTTAACAGGCATTTCGTAAGAGCCAACTAATTAGGAGTTTCCTTCTAAGTCTGAGTGCATCTGCCTGAGAGGCAAGGAACCAAAAGTCTGCATGCACACAAACAAGCAGGATATGTAAAATGGATGGGCATGCAAAACACAAGTTCTGGAACAAAACTAAACTCCAGAAGTATTAGAACAACCAGCTGATTTTTACTGCTGGTGAATGCAAAGAAAAAGAAGAAGACCAGTGATTATGTCTTTATAAAGAAAAAAAAATGGTTCTGCTCTCTTACTTTAACAGTGTTTCCCACAAGATTGAGCTGACATTTCACAATGTACATTTCAGAGGTATTGTCCAGCATGGGGCCGGCAGCACTGCAGCAGAGATCATACTGCTAGAGCCCCTGTCATTCATAGTTGACATCCGCAGGAACCTGTCCTGTGCCTATTATCATGACATCCCCAGCATAGAGGTCAAAGGAGTGCTGGAAAAAATTGATGTGAGTTACCCACTGGCATTTGCAGTCATCACTGTTGCCATGTTTGCCATTCATCTGTCACATAGGGCTTACAGTCCTCCTTCCACTCTGTTCTGTCCTGTGCAATCTTTTCTATGTCATGGATGAAATTCAGGCAGCCCCTTCATCCTCTGCCAGCAATGTTTCTCTTAGACATCCTTGTTTCCTAATGCCATATGTTTTCCATTTCAGTGCCTTTTTAGTGATTTGTTTGTCCTTTTGTTTTGCTGAAATTTGTTTTTCTGGGTCATCTGGTTAAAGAATTGACATCACAACATGCAGGACAAGCCCATGTCATCTTCTAGTGAAGTTTCAATACTGTTTGTATCAGTTGTCATCTAGTTAACTACCCATCTGCCCCCCCCCCCCCCCATTCCCCTGAGTCTCAAGTGATGCCAAGAGCCTGTAGACACTCCCTGCTACATGATTCTCTCTAGGTGCTGGTTTTCAGTATTTCCATTGTATTTGTTGCCTTGTCTCACAGGCGAGAGATCCCTCTGCCTTGTGCAGTTGCAGTACACACTACCACCACCCCCCCAACCCCCAGGAAAGCCAGTCTAGCCAGCCTATCTGCCTGCTCATTCCCAAACATGTCTGCATGGCCTGAGCAAAATATTTATGTGACTGACCACTTCTACCTCTGGATTTTGTTTCTTCACTTTTTTTAAATTCATCCTATTTCTTTTTCTTCTTTGTGTTTGGTTTTGTATGTTAAGGTCAGATCGTCAGGCAGGCTGCCTCTGTAAATTCACATGCCAGCTGCAGGTCATTCATGGTTCCCCATAGCTTGCTCTGTGCACTTTGTTCTTGAGGCTAGGTTTCTCTTAGTTGTTATAAGTATAGTGAGCAGGCCTGCAGAATGTGCTCAGGTGTTTGAGGTCCCATCTGATATATAATTTCCCTTTACAAACATGTCAGTGGGGGGGGGGGGGGGGGGGGGGGGGTACAAAAAGGCAATAGAGAATGTAATATACCTCTAATCCCTACAAAAGAATATATGTTTTTAAACAGAAATGAATGTACATTTTGAATTTGATGATAAATATACGTTTAATACTGTTATAGTTAGTAGGAAAAAATAATTCAGCCTGTGTTAACTTCACAAAATAATTTTACACACACACAAAAAAAAAAATTCCCTACTTACCATAGTTTTGCAGTCACATGAGTGGTGAATATCCAAATTTAAGAATAAAACTTCAAAATGTGTTTAATTTCCTAACAAAATCAAAAGTTATGGTAAGTTTCTGGGTTAGTTTGGCACTCAGGGGGCTCTTAGTTCTTACAGAGTGCTGAGCAAAATTTCAGCGAAAACAATGGCAGAAAAATGGTTCATTACACACACACACTATTTACTGTTTACTTTGTAAAGTTATTTACAAACTGAAACTGCAATGATTTCAATGTAGCTTAGCCATAGAATAGTACTGTCTATTTGTTAAGAGTACATTCCTTTTCTTACACCCAAATTACGGTAGCAATAGAACATTCTCTGTGTAAACCCATTAGAATCACCAGATTCCCAAACAGCTGATCGCTCAGCTGCCGCTGGTGTAATATACACCGTCCGAATCACTTTCTAAAAAATCTAAATTTGTATTATCATTATCAGAACTATAAACATTCAACTAAAACAGTTTCTGAGTTTTAGCTGCAGAAAGATGCATTTTGTGGTCTGTACTTGTGTTTGGAACATTGGTATCCATGGCACGTGAAAACTTAGAAAATGCACAATTCAACGCTAGCTATCTATGAATCAGATCAATCTGCCCACGTGTCTTTGAAAACAGAATATTATTCACAGGAAAACATTAGTGTGACCTTTCCTGAATACTTGAATGGTAGTTCCCAACATTATAAACAAATACGGAGCCCTGTACAAAGCAATATGTACGGGACACATGATCGACTCTGACAGTGTTGTTTGGGCAAACTTGAACTTCTCAGTCAACACTCACAGCATTGCTCGGGCCTTAAAGAGTTAATTTTCATCAATCGTCTCAGGCATTTGTTTTATTGTTTGGGCAAACTGGAACTTCTCAGTCAACACTCACAGCATTGCTCGGGTCTTAAAGAGTTAATTTTCATCAATCGTCTCAGGCATTTGTTGTGTTGTTTTGGCAAACTGGAACTTCTCAGTCAACACTCACAGCATTGCTCGAGCCTTAAAGAGTTAATTTTCATCAATCATCTCAGGCATTTGTTTTCAGATACCTTTAATGGTTCTCCAACTTTCACAGGTATATGCTAAAACTGACATAATATTAGATTTGAAAATTTACACAATCCCACTGACAAATACAGTAAGCAGATTCACCTTTGGTGATATACATTACATAAAATAACCCTTTGACCCCAGAATCGGGCTATTTTGATCTGCGCTTTTTCTATACACTGTTATGAAGAATCCACTTTAAAAACATAACTCTGAGATAATGACACATGACCAACAAAACACCCCTTGCTTTTAAACTTGTCATCATCTTGCACACCTCTTTGTAAATGAACTATTTTCGAAATTTGGACTTTTTTGCATGAGAAATAGTCCATCTTTGATAATTTGGTGTCAGAAGGATGATATAAGGATTATATTTGATCCTAAGTCTATTGGGCATGAGTTAAGATATATATTCACTCTTGGGTAAGTGATTTTTTAGGTCTGTGGAGGCCAAGTTTATTGGCTGAACCACCGCCACTTTGCTGGAAGAATATATTCCTGCTTTTGGGTTTTTTGAGAATTTGAGCTGACTGCCTCGTGACATGGTTTCAAGAGCTAGCGGAAGGCTTAATGCCTTGCTTATCTATATCTCCTTGTGGAAAGTAACTAATTCACCCGGGAAGTTCTGTAGAGCATGGGTGAGTATGTGTAATTTACTTAAATAAAGTTACTTTGCCCTGCTGCTGACAAGGAGGAGTGTGCAATCATGAGGCAGCAACCGAAATAGGCAATCGGCAGCTCAAAGAATAGGAATTTCTTCGATCCATTGTTGAATTCATTCCTTAATGTCTTTAACTGTATTGTACTGATTACACTGTGTATTATTATTTTACATTCAGTGGTTTGTGTCAATCCTTTTACAGTTCTTTAAGTTAGCTGGAATGAGTGTGATACTGATATATTATATTCTGTACTGTGTTATTTTGACTAGTATAGGCTTCCTATCTAGTCTGGGGCTTTTAAGTAGATGGGAAGTCAGACCAAGTTGCGCCTAGGAATAATTAAAGATTCAAGACTGCCACAATCAAGTATAAAACTTCACTTCCCAACAGCACTTAACAGCAAAAGTGGAAGTTTATAATGATGATGATAATGACCGACCTACTGGGAAGTGAGATTGTTGTCAGAATCTATGGATATTTTTTTTTATCTTGCAGATCTCCAGTTTTTAGGGAAAGTTAAAAAGATGTTGCATGATCAAATAAAACTCATCCCAATTGTTGTTGTCTTCCACAAACATGCAAGATATATTAACAGGTGTTGCAGAATTAAACTGGAAATATTAGAAAACTAACTCATCCCTGTAGTCATGAGAAGAAGTTGCCACAAGGATTCAGGCACACATTTGCACTGCTTGGAGAGATGGAAGATACCATCTGCCAAGAAAAACTTTGGCTGCTTATAGAACCATATAGTCTTGGCTGTCATGAATCTGGATTGACTTATTGATGTGGATTCATCTATTGATATGCTTCCTGCACAACCAAAGCCCTTCTTTACAGATATCTGTAATCTCCTCCAGCAGTGGATGCTTGTCTGAATGCCTGGAGTGACTTCCCCTGACAACTCCAGGTGTATTCTTGTTTCCTGACATAGTCTAATACCAGTTTTTAGGCTGGGTCAACCAGGAAGCCTAAGTCCTCAGTAGGAATTGGAATCTGTGATTGATTACTTGGCCATTAATTTGTGTCTGTTTGTGCACATGCCTGTAAAGATGACTAGATAGGCATGGAAGTGATTATATTTCTTTGTCTCACTCTCAGTTGATTTAAAGGCAAAGTTACATGTATACACATTTTGCCATCCCAAGATCAAGCTAAACCAGGAGGATGTTCGACTGATGATGCAGATTGCCACTGAAAATGTCGATGAGAGATATGCAGATGGACCTACTTCAGCCAAGGCAAAACTGGTCATAGTACGTGACAGACGTGTGTCTGCTAGACCACGTATGTATACATATAACATTAGCATTGCATTCTTGTTGAGTCAGGTTGCTTCTGCCTTCTTTTAAATATCTCCTTGATATGTCATGCTGTTATGATCAGTATTACTAGAAGTGGACATTTCCGTGCATTTTGTATTATCACCAAAAGCTGTTCATTGTATTGTTAATGGAAGCTGTTTAGTATACTGTTGCTAAAAGCTATTTAGCGATTGTCAAAAGTTGTTTAGTGTATTGATGCCAAAAACTCTTTAGTGTGTTACCAAACTCTACTTAAAATTTAGTTACCAAACTGTTTAAAATTTTGTTACCAAACTGTTTAAAATTTTGTTACCAAACTGTTTAAAACTTTGTTACCAAACTGTTTAAAATTTTGTTACCAAACTGTTTAAAATTTTGTTACCAAACTGTTTAAAATTTTGTTACCAAACTGTTTAAAATTATGTTACCAAAAGCTGTTTATTGTATTGATGTGAAAGTATTTTTTTTTTTTGGCAAGGCATCAGCAACTTTGAATAGCTTGAGCAAAATATGGGATATTAATTATTTAGTTTCAAAACCAAGTCAGGTATCTTCAATTCTAAAGTTATTTCAATTTTAACATATTGAACATTGGAGAACAATTCAAGACCTGGAATGAAAGTTAAGTGCATTCGAAAACAAATGTCCGATGCAAGGAATGAACATAAAATGGGATGAATTCAAAAGGCGTCAAGAAATAGGAGAAATATCTGGACAACCACTATTATCAGTAATTATAAGACAGGGAAGATGGTGTTATATTGGACACATCCTGAGAAGAAACCAGCAGAGAATCACCAAACAGACATGAAAATGGGAAATAAAGGGATTAAAGAGTTAGCAAAGGAAACCCTAAGATTAATGTTGATGAGAGAGACCAAGGCTGCTGGACTGGATTCCACCCATGATATTGGCACATAAAGCAGAGACAAGCTGTCACCGCTCAGTTTGTTCCTGAGCCATCCTCTCTATCTCCAGTTTTGTCCTACGCATAGCCTTGAGTTCTAAGTGCCTCTGGGTCTGCCTCTTCCTTGCGGTTCTAATGGTATCCATTGCATTTCCTGTCTCGTCTGTCTCTTTTTCTTCTCTGAAGACGTGTCCAATCCACCTCCAAGTTTCTGCATGATGCAGCAGGATTGAGCATACATAACATTTGATGATTCTAATTTTTTATGTGTTGTTTATCTGTCTAGCTGTCAGTAATTTTGTCTTCTTATTGATGACAGTTTTAGTCATTACAATTTGTTCATTTTTTTTTTCATTTCTGTTTCACTTCTGTCATCATTGGTTATTACGTTCTAATATCTCTTCAGTTACTGTGATGTTCACATTTGGTCCATCTTTTCCATTGTTAGTTACCATATTTTTTGTTTTTCACGTGTTAACGTCTAATCCAAACTCTGTACTCTGCTCGTTAAGGACTTTATCTATTCGGTCTTATAACTCCTGCTCACTTTATACTAGTAATACTGTGTCATCAGCACATTTCAGATTGTTATTCTTCTTCCATTAATATTCAGTCCAGACAATTCTTCAAGTTATTTAAGAGTAGTTTCTGCGTATAAGTTGAAAAGGTTTCGGGATAACGCACGATCTTGATATAATCAACGATGTTGTGTCTAATTGTTGCTGTTTATTACTCTTAGGATAGGTTACTAAAATATAAAATATCCTTTTCATCTTATCCTGTATTTAGGAGGCTTGGAGTGAAATTGTCAAGTTACAGCTGTCAAAGTCCTTCTTGTAATCTATATAACATGTGTAAATACTTTTCTGAACTTCTGTATATTTTTCAGTCTGCATCTTTAGACAAATTTGCATAAGACTTTAAAAAAACACCTTACTGGAAGTATCAGTTGAAAGCAGATGAGCAAGAGGCAGTTGGCAATACAAGTGGGAGGATAACATCAAGAGAAATACAGTGTGTTGGAAATTCATTGCTGTCAGCCTTCATTGTGGAGACGGCAACTGATTGGCTGGTAGTTTGTGTACTGAATATATTGCCCATTTATGTTTTATTTTACTGAGAAGTGAAGGATGAGTTTGATACCAAATGGATTCATTTATTGCAGGAAGTCCCTCAGTTGCTTCCACTGTGTCTGTACTACCAAGAGAGATATACTGCTCCCTGAAGCTGGACTTCAAGTTGCTGGCTATTAACATTGAGCTCTACCGAGGCCTTGTCAATCTGGTATGTTACCACTGCTGGATTTATCAGTATTCCTGAAACACCCTGTTTAATGTTCTTTTGGCTTGAGAGCGGTAACTACAATAGAATAGCACAACAGTTGACAGTAGTTTAACAGAGCTTAAGAGCAGAAACTACAATAGAATAGCACAACAGTTGACAGTAGTTTAACAGAGCTTAAGAGCAGAAACTACAATAGAATAGCACAACAGTTGACAGTAGTTTAACAGAGCTTAAGAGCAGTAACTACAATAGAATAGCACAACAGTTGACAGTAGTTTAACAGAGCTTAAGAGCAGAAACTACAATAGAATAGCACAACAGTTGACAGTAGTTTAACAGAGCTTAAGAGCAGTAACTACAATAGAATAGCACAACAGTTGACAATAGTTTAACAGAGCTTAAGAGCAGTACCTACAATAGAATAGCACAACAGTTGACAGTAGTTTAACAGAGCTTAAGAGCAGTAACTACAATAAAATAGCACAACAGTTGACAGTAGTTTAACAGAGCTTAAGAGCAGTAACTACAATAAAATAGCACAACAGTTGACAGGAGTTTAACAGAGCTTAAGAGCAGAAATAATGTAAACTTAAAGGCAGGAAATGATATAAAAACCTAAATGCAAGATATTAACACTTGAAAAAAAAGACATAATAAAGAATCTTGACTGCAAATTATAACATTAAAACTTGAAGCAAAGTCATAATATTAGCTTGCAATCAAAACATGATTTTTAAAACTTGAAAACGAGACATGGTATTAAAAATTCAAAAAAACAAAATAGTCTTAAAACTTTTGGAAGAAATGAAATTACAAAATGAAAGTACTGCTTGATTTTAAATCTTGAAAGCAGTTGTATGAAAACGTGAAAGTAAACCATGATATTAAAATTTGATTGCAAGATATGATATTTTAACTTGAAAATAAGATGTAGGATAAAAATTTGAAAGCAGGTCATGATTTTAAAAGTCATTTTTTCAAAAACCTAACTCTTTGAGTCCCAGGGGGTTTAGCATCAGAGACCCAAGAGGTGGTAATGCGGATGTTTCTATTTCACTAGTGTAACAAATTAAAGCCTACTATACCAATTCAGCTGCTGTGCAATATATACATATTATAAATCAAAGTGACCAGGAACTGTTGGGGAGTACTAATAGAATACTTCTGCAACAAACAGTTCTGTTAGTAGTTAAATATTAGTTAAAAAAACAGTCAGTATGTTTATAGAAATTAGCAAAATGAAATAATAAGGTTTCTACTAACTACCATGGCACTCAAGACAAAATTGTTACCATATATCCAAAGTGAATCACAAGTAAACATGAACCAGCATAAGTAAAATATAAACTCAGTCTGTACATTAAATCTCTTTCCAGAGAATCTTTTGGTATTAATTTCTATTGCTCTTATCATATGATAGTCTATGTAGTTGGTATCACAAACACCTTACAGTCTAAAAGTTATGTATTCAACCTCAGCTGGATTTTTTTTTAAATTGTAAATTTTCAATTTCATTTTGGGGGGGGGGGGGGGGGGCTGAGTGGTCTCCAGGTATGGCATCCACCTAAAGTGCTGGAGATCCCGGCTTTAAGCCCCAGTGAAGGCTGGGATTTTTTCACGTCAACTTCTAGCAATTTCCTTTGGTCTCTGGACGC